TAGGCTAGAATCTGTGGAAAAGACAGAGAAGAGCAAGGGAAACCTGACTTCAGTGAGGATGGTTAAGGCCTACCGTCAGAAGGTTAAGGATGAGCTCATTAGGCTGTGCCACAATATGCTGGAACTGATAGACATTCATCTTCTGCCACACACTTGTTCCTAGGAGCTGGATCTTGCTGAACAAGATGTGATGCACTGATCTCCCTTTCTTATGTTTAGCTGTTTAAGTCATGTCATTTGTCAGAAATTTATGACCATCATCTGATTAATGTTCTTGTTCTTCATTTTAGGAAAGGAGATGGTTACAGACTGCTGGCTTCTCTTTCAGAAGAACATGAAATGAAAAGTTTCTGTGATAAATCATTGAGTGCCTACGAGGTATGCCGCTCATTTCCCAGAACTTGCTATCTGATGCATCCAATTATACATTGACTGTTTTATACTTGTTTTGTATTTGCTAAGTTTTTTTATATAAATTTTCCCACAGCTGGCATCTGAGATTGCAAAGGCAAGCCTCCACAATTGTGATGCCCTTAAGCTTGCACTAGACCTCAATACAGGTCTCCTCTTGTCTGAGCTCATGGGCTCACCAGAAAGGTACGCTAGTATTAAATTTTTGCTTCCTATTGTCCTGTAGCTTGAATCAGATCATTTTGAATTTGCATCAAATTCTTCAGGGCTCATAAACTAGCTATTGAAGCGTTTAACCAGGCAACAAATGGTATAAGTCTACTGAGAGATAAAGATACTTACACTGAGACTTCTTTTATGCTGAACTTATTACTTGGCCGTATTGAGTTTTGGGAAATGAAGATGTCTACAGTGCAGGTATTTTGATACCTTCTTTGCCCTTTCCATTGCATCCATAATGTACCCATAATGTATCCCTTGTTTTTGTTTAGGGTACCTGCCTGTTCAGAGTGGTGGGTCATACACCGCCCAAGGAACAGAGGACCCCTATCAGACACAAAGTATTTTTTTTCTTTATGAGATTATTATATACTTCAAAATTATCACAATGCTTACTAATAAATGTTACATTCTATTATTTTTGCCGCAGGTCTTCAAGGGTAGGGTGGAAGTTTCCGGAAAAGAAAAGCTTACAGTCTTGGAACGTGTTCCTGTGAAAGAGGTTTTTCCTGTAACTTTTTTCTTTTAATTAGAACTGTGAGAGCTTTTTCTTCCATCTATGTGCCTTTGTGGTCTGGTTTACTACATTTACTTCTTGTTTTGCCAGGATATCAAAGAAACAACATCTTACTGCAATAGATGTGAGATCTCCAAGGTCAGGGTTAACATAGCAAAAGTGCAACAGAAGATGGATGATGCAATTGACAGATCAACTCATGAGAAATTAGAGAGGGAAGTTAGCCATCTGAGTGATGTCTTGGAATATCTCAGTTCCTTAGAAGATACAGGTACCTACAAATCACTCTCCAGCGAAAAAGAATGAATTTAGTGCGATACAGTCAAGTGTTGTTGAACTTTTTTTTTTAGAAGATCTACTTTCTTAAATAGGTGCCAATGATTTGTGTTCTCGATATCACTTATCTGGTTATCCCTTTGCTTGCTACCTCATCTGTTTTCTGATTTGGCAGCATGATTCTAGTTCTGTTGAAATTTGCTTATAATCTTTTCCAGGTACTGAGGTTGTCTGGGAGAGTGAAGTATCTGCAGGTGACAAGGAAGAAGAGTGTGCCTACTACTACTGCGAGCAGGTAATATACCTCTCTCTCTCTCTCTCTCTCTCTCTCTCTCTACATGTGAAATTTCTTGACAACCCTGGCTATAAAATTATACTTGCATGTTTATACCCGAGATCGAACTATGCCGGTTGACAGTGAGAGTGAAGCAAAACGAAAATTGAAAAATGAGTTTCATATGCTACCCATATAAGCGAATTCTAAAAATCACATAGTTTCATAAGTGAGAAACTTGTTTTGCTTAAGTCACAGTAGCATCAATGTGGAAGCCCTCTGTTTTATCTAGTACTTTGTCTGGTTGGTGACCCCAAGCCAGCAGAGAAAAATCTGGAAAGTGGTTTGTCTATCCAACCATAGACGGGTACAACATTTTTAGTTTGAACGGAGAGAACTTGTCCAGAAACAAATGGTGCAAGGTGGTCAATTTTTAGTTTGTGCTGGTGAACCAATGCGACTCCATTGGCTGGACCACCTCTGCTGGTAATACTTCCAAGTTTAATCTACCTTATTATTGCCCGAGCAAATTTTGAATATGAGCAAAAGGACTTGTCTGCATGCTAGATGGCAATCAACAGTTGTTGTATAACATAGTAGTACGAAATTTCAAGCTGGTAACTTTAATTTGATGCTTCATTAGTCCCTCCATCCACAAAAGAATGCAATTATGGATTTATGCAGGTCAAACTACTTTAACTTGACGATGTTTGTCCTGGATTTTTATCCATTTGCTGGTGAGCTTATGGAACTATTTCTAGCTTTTTTTTTTCTCACCAACGAATATGCCCAGAGGATTACTTAGAACTGTTGGCTTTGAAATTCCTTATGGGTATGTAGTTACATACATACAGACTGATGCAGTGCAAGAGGGCATAATTTTGTGGAATGTAGCAACATCATTTGTGCCATAGATACTGTCCGGCAAAATAGAAGTGTTGGCACAAATGATGTTTGTCTGTGTCCATCCACAAAAGAATGCATTATGGGTATGTAGTTACTACATTTACATTCATCAAACTAGTCCCTCCATCCTGGCCTGATGTTTGTCTTGTGTCTGTGATCAATTTGATCATCGGCATACTAGGAAAATGGGATGACGAGTGCCAATGCTTTCATTTTCGGTTTCACTGCCTTGCTAGCTCTGTGTAAGCCTACTCACACACATTATGCAGACATAATGTTTCTCTTTAACCTCGAATTTTCTATCAGGACGACTCTTCCGAGCCAACTACAACCAGCGGCAAACAGTGAGCTTCAAATGGGAACTACGAAGGGTGGCACCAAGCAAGCGAGCATTATGTGATTCTTCATCAAGAAGGTATAAAGTCAGAGCCCTGCAGGCGTATGAGATTGGACTTGTTCAGTTAAAGCGAACTGTGTCTGCTGCCGTGTGCTGGCTTCAGCTACTGAACCGGGCCTGCAGCCACTGGTGAATGTCTCAGGCCTGCGCTTTGCACGCTACTGTGATGTCTGGAAGTCGAAGAGGGAAGCACTTTGCGTATCTCTGGAAGTCGAAGGGGGAAACACTTTGCGTATCTCTGTCTAGTTCCTCAGAACAAACCCACTGGCGAACGAACGCATGTGATTATTGACGTGGTCGCTCGTGTGCCTTTGTTTCAATTTCAACGTTTGGTCATGCATGGGTTGAACTCTGCCAAATGACTTGCATGCCCAATTGATCAAAACCAATTGACTCAGTGGCTATGCCGCCCAGCCGCAACTCTCGGCAGGCCTGCAGCAGACGGACACGGACCCTGTGCCTAAAGGCGCGGGAGCAGGAGTGCAGGACCGCGCCGTGATCGAGCAGGGCAGAAATCGCTTCCTACAGCTTGATTTAGCACAAGGAAGTGGGCAATTGACCGCAGAGGAATTCCAGTTTCGAAAAAGGCTAAAGGCACGTCGTTGCCTTGAATTAGCACAGATTGAAAAGGCACGACTGAAGCAGCACTCTAGATTAACACAGGTCCGCTTTGGAGATGCGAACACAAAATTCTTGCAAATCGAGGCCAACCTTGGAAGAAGGAAAAACTTCATGCAGTGTTTACAAACTGAAGGCGGTCTGGTCTTCTCGCAAGAAGCTAAAACAGAGGCAATACAAACACACTTTCAATAGTACTTGGGATCTTGTCAACTAACACCTACAACTGGAATGACCTTGGATATGCTCCCAATAACATCTCCTCGCTTGAGACCCCCTTTCACACTGACACAAGAGGAGATTAAATATACCATTTGGTACATGGCTATGTACAAAGCACCGGGGTCAGATGGCTTTACTAGAACCTTCTTCAGAGAATGCTACGAAATTATCACAACTTGTGGTTATCCTTTAGTCAGTTATACAACTTGAGTCTTGAACTGGAGTAGCCTAGAGTTGCTAAACACAGTGAACACTATTCTTTTGCCCAAGAAGGCAGATGCAATTAATAAAAGTGGTGGACTATCGACCGATCTTAATTCACAGCATAGAGAAGATCTTTTCCAATTGTGTTTGCAAACATACTGGCACCGCACCTAGACACTCTGGTATTGTCTTGTCAAAGTGTTTTTATTAAAAAACGTTGTATTCAGACAACTTCCTCTACACTCTAAAGGCCTAAACGTCATATGCCATATGCACACAAGGAAAATACTACCACTCTTCCTTAAATTGGACATCCACAAAGTTTTTGACACAATCAACTGGGCCTACCTACTCGAAGTTCTCCAAGCACTTGGACATCAACATCATTGGCCTTATAGATACTGTAATACGTCCTGATGTTGGTATGGAAACTGTAATGTGGACCAGTGGACTATATAGAACTGACGCACAGTAGAGCTTATTCACACGATATTATTATATACCAAAACTTGGTATCATTTACACTATATTATTATAATATATAGAGAGCTTATTTACGCACTGTAGAGAACAAATAAGATGAAGGACTATATCGAATACGCACGAGTGTGCATATCATTCTATCAAGAAGAGTATAGTTTATGTTATAAGAAAAGCGACCGTTGGTTGTAAGATCCTTAGGGGCTACATCGTGAAAATAAAAACTGAAAGATTTATCTTTATCAACGACGACAAGTTCATGGTATATATAATATCACTTGAGGACCAGTGCAGCACTACTACTATACTACCACGACATGATTGATTACAAAAACAGGTAAACAAACATAATGACACTTTTCACCACAAAAAAACTAACAGCATCTCCACGATCAAGGACGAATTGGTGCAGATATATCTTAGTTCGAAGAAGAGATCGACCTAAAATTGTTTATTTCGGCGACTGATCAATCGATCTAGTCCTCGTCGTCCTCGAGGAGCTTGAGGTAGCTGACAGGGTCGCCGAAGAGGCCTGGAGGTGGCGGGTACATCTTGATGACCCTGGCGATGCGCTTTACCAGCTCGTCGTTGGCCGGGTCGTACCTGTGGAGCTTTCCGGCACGGCGGTACTCCTCCCTGATCTCTTCTTCCGTCAGGGCCATGTATGCATGCACGCAGTCGAGTATCGCCCGGGTAAACGCGTCCGCTGCCTTCTGCTCTCGCGGGTTCCAATCCTGCCTGCGCCGAGGGGGCGCGGAGCTGCTACGTGGCGGCGGTGCAGCGTTTCTCAGACGAGGATGGCCGCACGGCAACAAGCCCCGGCCCCGCGCTGCGGCGGCGCTCCCTGAACCTGAACCTGCTGCCTCCATGAATCTCCAACAGATCTTTCGATTTGTTTGCAAACAAGAAACAAGATAACCGGAGGTCACCCGGCCCGTTTATATTTTATAGAGATAGACCTCCTACTACGTCCCCCAGGGCCCTCGCACCGTGGACTCGAATCGGATCGAAGATTGTGGTTTGTGGGACGATTCATGAAAGGAGACGGAGAGACTAGCGCGTCCGCACGCTCCTCATCCGTTTTTAATAATTTTCAATAATGATACCTGAGTGCCTATCAGGGCGAAGCCAAGTTAGACTTTCCCTGGTGCACGTGCACCACGGTAAAACAAAAAATTACCGGTGTCTACCTCATCTTTTCCATGTATTTTCTGTGTAATGATATAGATTCCTTGATATTTAATAGACACAGCATCAGGATTAGTTTTGAGCTGACTTCGCCACTACTGCCTATGGATGTAGTTTCGTGCTCTGTGCCTGCTGCTCGCATAGATGCAGCTTCATACTCTGCTTCGCCTCATGCTCCGTGCCGGCAGCCCGCCCATGGATGCAACTTCATGCTCCACGCCTGCTGCCGCTCGCGCACGCGAGAACTGCTGCGCCCGAGGGGACCACCTTTGACTGCGCCCCCTTACCACGTCTGCTTATGAAACACTTGCAACATAAAGCATTTATTGCAACATGCGTCTGAAATAGATGAAACATTTACAACATACGCTTGCAATATATGTATGAGCACTGTAACATGAGCAACATCTAGATAAAATATTTGCAACATATGTTTGAAACAGTTGAAATATTTGAAATATACACTTGTAACATACATGTATAGCCGGTGCAACATATGCAATATCCAGATAAAACACTTGCAACATACGTTTGAAACAGCCGAAACATTTGAAACATACACTTGCACCATACGTGTATAGTAATTGCAATATATGCAATACCAGATCTACTTTTGCAACATTCAGATGAAACGTATGCAACATACATCTGAAGCAAGAAATATGCGGTTGCAACATGTGTTTATCTACTTGTTGTCCCCCAATGGACGCTCGGTGATGCGGAGCTTGACGCCGGCACAGAGCTCGATGCCACGACACGGAGGTCGAACCTCGGCTGTGCAGAGGAGCACAGCGCGAAGCATAAGCAACGTGCGATGCGAGGGGTGGGCGACGCGAAGCGAGAGCAGCGCGGCACGAGGCACGAGGCATGGGTGAGGCACGAGGTGCAGGGCGTGCGAGGTGTGAGATGCGGGGGCGACGGATCCATCCCATTCGTCCGGACGGACGCTCGCTAGAGAACATCACTGCAACTTGTATGTAAGTCGTACAAGGCCGAGAGAACCGGAGTCGTATACAGGATTATTTGATACTTGAGTTGTATATATGCGATGACGGGATGGGCCTCTCCTGTGCTGTGAGCGCTGCGCGCCACATGGGCTTTGCTGATTACCACCCCAAATACGTCCATCCATACGTGTATATTTACAATGTAATTCAAACACAACTACAAATCAAGTGCTATTGGCAATTTATTATGTGGCATGATCTCCCTTACTTAGCTATCTCAAAACTCGAAACTATTGAACATTTTGTGTACGTACTTCATGTGTGCTTAAAAAAACTAATTTATTAATGAGTTAAATGCATCAGCGGTCCTCGAACTTGTAAGGCTATCTCCAACAATAACACCCAAAATATAAGACCCATTCGTTCTTTGAGTAGCGCTACAGGCAAAATGTTTAATACTTATTCGACATCTTCTCCAACAATAAGACCCAAAAGAGAATCCTTTCTGCAAATGAGTTTCCAGGAGAGAGGATACACATATTTGGGTTGTGCCTCTCAGGCAACCCAAAATAGGTCTCCCATATAGGTACTCTGTTGGAGGCTGATTTTAGGTCTCTTACTACCCATTTTGGGTTTGGGTGCCCATATGGGTTTCTTGTTGAGACAGTCTAAGGGCGTGTCATTTAGGTCCACGAACTCTCAAAATGCATATTTAGGTCTCCTATCTTGATTTTTGGTTCACCACAGGTCCATACCGTTTTGTCAGCAGTATTTTGCTTACATGGCATGCCAACATGGCAATCATTTTTATATCTAACCCCTTAGGTTTACTTTTCTCTAAAAAAATAGACCCTCTCTTTTCTTCCATACTGTCGTCTTCATCATTTCCATTCCATACAACAGCCATGGGCCACGCTGCAGTGGTGGAACCAGCAAAATGATAAAGGGGGGCCAGACAAATGTATGGAGTACTGATAATGTGAAGCCATTTGAGAACCTTTGCTGCTAATGTGAAGCTATACCTGAAGGGAACACAGTACCTCTGAAACGTAGATCAGGGGATAAACATCTTACTTAGATGAAGAAACTGATTCCTCTACTTCGCCTTGGCGCAGTTGCGCCGCAGCCGCGTGGACACCGGTGTTGTGGGAGCTCGGTGCGGTGGAGTGCAACGTAGTGGTGGTGATGCAGAGACGACGGTGACGCGAGGTGCCACGGTCCGGTGGTGAAGGCGAAGTCAGTGGGTCTTCTCGTCGCTGGCAGCACCCTCTTTAGATCGGGTTAGGTTTAGCTGTTGGTGGGTCACGGCGGCTCAGGGCAACCTCGTAGTTAGAGCCCTGGTCCCTACCTCTCTTTATAGTGCTGTGCGACGGGGGCCCACCAACCATGGAGTGGTTGGACGCCCCTGATCAGGGCGTTGATCCAAGGGCTCAATTGGCCGTTGGGCCAATTGGTGGAGATCAAACTAACATTCTTCCTTGATCTCACACCATCTTTCAATTTCATATCATTTACTTTTGTTCATTCCATCACAGATTAGCGCATAGAGCATATTTCATCATCACAGTCAATTACCGATAGATTTAACAACTACAACACACCACTCTGTTCTAAAATAGATACTTAACTCTGGGCCTTCTTTTGTCCAGGAATTATAGGCTTTCCCTTAAACCCATGTCGGCTACATATTCTCTGAACACGTTGGGTGGTAAGCCTTTTGTAAGCGGATCTACGAGCATATTTTCGGTACTTATATGCTCAAGACTTATGACATGATCCCGAACTTTATCTTTCACAACATAATACTTTATGTCAATGTGTTTGACATCACCACTTGACTTATTGTTGTGAGTATACTGTACTGCTGGATTATTATTGCAGTATAACTTAAGTGGTCTATAGATGTCGTCAACCACCTTCAAACCGGGTATGAACTTCGTTAGCCAGTTCACCTGCCCCGTTGCCTCATAACACGCTACAAACTCGGCATACATTGTGGACGATGTAGTGACAATTTGCTTTGAGCTTTTCCATGAAATAGCTCCCCCTACGAGAGTGAATACATATCCAGACGTGGATTTTCTATCATCTCCCGCATAATCAGAATCTGAATATCCCACTATATGGAGTGAATCTGATCTTCTATACGTCATCATGAGGCTTTTCGTTCCTTGTAAATAACGCAAGATTTTCTTTACTAATTTTCAGTGCTCTGTTCCAGGATTGCTCTGGAATCTGCCAAGTAACCCGGTAATAAATGCCAAGTCAGGGCGCGTACATACTTGAGCATATTGCAAGCTTCCGATAGCTGAAGCATATGGAACTATTTTCATTTGATCGATCTCATACTGATTCCTGGGGCATTGAAAATCCCCATATCTGTCGCCCTTGACTATAGGAGCAGGTAAGTGACTACATTTGTGCATATTGAATTTCTTTAAGATCTTTTCTATGTATGCCTTTTGTGACAGTCCTAATACCCCTTTACTTCTAACTCGGTGAATCTCGATCCCTAGAACGAACGAAGCTTCACCAAGATCTTTCATATCAAATTTTGAGGACAAAAACTTCTTTGTCTCCAGTAGTAGACTGACATCACTACTAGCAAGTAAGATATCATCCACATATAGGACAAGAAAGATAAACTTTCCATTCTTAAACTTTGCATAGACACAATTGTCTTCTACATTCTCTTTAAACCAAAAATTTCTTATTGTCTTATCAAACTTCAAGTACCACTGTCTTGAAGCTTGTTTTAATCCATAAATGGATTTCTTTAGGCAGCATCCCATTCGTTCTTTTCCTTCCATGACAAAACCTTTTGATTGTGCTATGTAAACATTTTCCTCCAAGTCCCCGTTGAAAAATGTCGTCTTTACATCCATCTAATGTAATTCTAAATCGTAATGTGCCACTAATGCCATTATGATTCTGAGGGAATCCTTACATGGGACTGGAGAAAAGGTCTCATTGTAATCAATGCATTCTCTTTGCGTAAAGCCTTTTGCCACAAGTCGCGCTTTATATATCTCTATATTCCCTTGAGAGTCAAGTTTTGTTTTGTAGACCCATTTATAGCCTACTGTTTTGGCTTCTTTAGAAATTATTTTCAAGTCCCAAACTTTATTGGCATTCATAGATTTTATTTCATCTTCCATGACCTCAAGCCACTTTGATGAATGATCACTTCTCATGGCTTCTTCAAATAAGGTGGGATCATCCTCCATTTGAAATTCCTTAGTGTTGTATACTTCATAGTCAGCAGGAATAACTGATTTTCTAACTCTTTGTGACCTTCTAGGGGCCTCCACATTTGGCACATCTTCTATTTGAGGTTGTTGTTGCTCCCCCTCATGTGTGGTAATAGGTTCTACAGGATCCTAAAGAACAGGTTCAACATCGTCATTCATTGTTGCCACAAGCAGAATAACAACAGGTGCTGGCACCACAGTATATTGCACTGTCGGTGCAGCAACAGCAGGTAGTGAGAAAAATGGCCCATGAATCATCAGAGTGGGCGCATACACCCGCTTCTCTTCAAGGTCAATTTCTCGAGCTACCATGCTCCCCCTCATTATTTCATCCTCTAGGAAGACAACGTGTCTCGTTTCCAAAAACTTTGTATATCTGTCTGGACAGTAGAAACAAAAACCTTTTGACTTTTCTGGGTAGCCAATGAAATGGCAACTTACTGTTTTAGGATCTAGCTTCCCAATGTTTGGGTTAAATACTTT